TGGTGGTTTTTTTTTTTTAAGTAGCATTCTGCTGACTTAGAAGAAACAAGTACCAAAATGTATCAATACAGATCATACTATCAGAGTAGCAAATGTCTGGAATTGAGAGGAGTTCAACCAGAATCATGAGTTTAACTGAAATACTTTTTAGGCATTAAATCAGTGTGGTGGAAGCATCAGCTCTGGAGTGTTCACTGTTCCCTTATTAACCATAGTGGAAACAATCACTTGTTTTTAAGACTTTGAGTAACTTTAGATTAGAAGGTTTGAGGAAGAACACACATAATAGTACTCTACAGCATAGCGTACTATATGAAAAAGGTTAGGAAAAACCTAATTCTATTTCTATTAGGAAAAATAGAATTTCTTTGCCTTGAAACACTGAGACACAGTTACTTGTGTGGGGAAACTACCATTCTTTTTCATAAGCATTGTAATTAACAAATTAAATATATTGTTATAATTTTTCTAATCAAGTTTTTTCTCATTTCCATGCTACAAGGATGATGTAAGTAAAAAAAAAAAGTTGTGATCAAATGAATATGAAATTGCATTATAGACTGCAACTATGCTTAGGTCAGTGGTTTTCAAACAATGGTAACTCAGAAATCCAGTATTTGTACAAAGTTAAAATAATGAGGTATCTCTGAAAATCACTTGAGACTGACTGTCTTACACGTATAGACCAGTAATAATAGCAGCGTGCAAAATCTTCTTTTCCTGTTAAAAACTTATCTCAGTTTGCTCTACAACAGACAGCATTTGTCTCGGGGCTTTTTACCTCTAAGGCTGCTGAGACGAAACATGTCTCAGGCTATGGCATTTGCTTACATCCAGTTTCTTCTCTGTTGGTTCCTGCTTCATATCAGTATGCAGCTGAGTTTGACTCCATGGGTAGAAACTGTTTAGGTCTCATCATGCCTGTCCGTCTGCCTTCTGAAACATCTGAATGATTCAAAACATCAAGGAAGGGGATACTTTAAAAATGGCATCGTGAGTCTTGTCAACCATTGTGTTGATTTGAGCCTTAATTTTCATGGATGGCTCTTAAGGGCAGTAACTGTCGCTGAATGTAGAGTGAAGTACCTCAAGGACTCAAATCTGTGGGAGAGGAGGAGTGTGATACAGTGAGTTTAAAAATGAGCTGCTTCCTAGGTCATTCTTGGAGCACTCCTTGAGCTGTAAGCCCTGTCTTAGATTATAATACCTTTTTTAATTAAATGCAAGGTTTACCTTTGAAAGCCAGATGTCTTGGTGTTATTTGAAACCATGAGCCCTCAGTACAACCTGTCAAGAGCTGCACTGGCCGACCCCTTTCATTTCTCCAGTTGTCTGCCAGACATCTGGTACTGGAAGTCTTTTTCAGGGTATTCAGAATAGTAAGCAGGGAAGTACAGCTAACTTTGGTATTTTGTGAGTAGCATGGGTACCTGTTTGCATTGCCAGGGTAGGAGCTAGATGAGGGCTATAACCAAAACAGAGTAACTTTTTAATACGTATTTATACTGTTGTATGTATAAGTAAGTACGTTCCATAACTCAGTCTGAAAATTAAAGGTGATAATGACGTGTGCAGTCACATTTCTCAATTTCTCACGTGGTGCTTTCATTGATAGGAGTGGTCTGCCGATCTGAATCGCACCCTCAGCAGAAGAGAAAAGAAGAAGGCTTCTGATGGAGTGACTCTGACGGGCATTAATCAGACGGGAGATCAGGCTTCACAGCCTAACAAACATAGCAGGTATTCTTCTAGTGCCTAAGAAGACTAATTGGAAGGGGTTGTTATCTTCAAGTATACTAAGCCCTACAGGATCAAAAAGTCACTGACCAACCAAATGTTAATTATCTGTGAGCATTTTTAGTGATGTGTTTCTGCAGCTCACAAAATATGTGGGGAATTACTCTCCATTTTACAGTTCTCTTTCCATGGGGAATTAAAAGAAGCCAGATTTCATGAGAAACTGAACTTTCTGTAGCTAATCTGGTAGTTAGTCTGTTGCTGTCTTCCCACTTCTAGAAAGGATAATTAGGCTTTGAAATCTTAGCTTGCAAAGCCTTCAGTCACTTCAGAATTCTGGATGTGATTAATACAAAACTGTTAACATCAGCTACTTTAGCAATGAATGAAACTGGCTAGAAAAATCCCACTGCCTGTTACTGCAGGCAGCAAGAAAAAAGTTATGGTCCACGAAGGATATTCTAATTCTGGAGGAATAAGATGTGCGGCTAATTTATGTGAGACTCCAGAGTTTCTTGAGTCTTATGCTACACTCTAAGATGTTTGCTTGTTGGTTGGTTGGTGGTGTGTTTTTTTGGCTGGAAAAGGGGTCTGCTAAGAAACGACTTGGTGGGACACCAATGACAGTGTTTTACTGTTAAACAGATAGGGTCACCATAATGCTCTTTCTTTTCCAAATTAGCAGTCTTAGTGTCCAGAGTAACACAGTGCAGTCAGTACAATCAAGTTACAATCCCTTTGAAGATGAAGAAGATACTGGGAGTACTGTCAGTGAAAAGGAGGACAATAAGATCAAAAAGTTGGTGAAATGTTGCTTTTTTTTTTAATAGTTTTCACACTTGCACTTTCTCTATCCAGGGTTTTCTATTTTTGGTTTCTGTAACAGTGTGCCAGCCAGTGCATGAAGTCCTCTTGAGCGGTTGTGTAAGCAGCACTGTAACCAAACTTGTTTTTCCTAACAGATGCCCTATCTGTTGCCTTGATCTTTTATCTGAAAGAGCAAACTACTGGGGTTATTGGCAGTTGCTAACAGAACTGCTGTTGCTTTTTTCCTTCCTTTACCAGCCCTATAAAAACATTAACACTGACGGGTTTTTCTAGTGAAACAGCTTATGGAGCTTTACTGCTCTGTGTGTTCTTGCTAAAGAAATCTGCTTTGAACAATGGCTTTCTTTTTGTTTAGGGCCTTCTCAAACAGCTGCCTGTTGCTTCAGTATGCACACCTTGGGATGTCATACCACTCTTAAATGGCATGTGCATGCTCACCAGTGAACTTGTCTTTAAATGATCGAGTTGGTGCACTAAAACGAAGCTTCTTTATTAGTGGGTTGCAACATGCAAGAAGTATTGAAAGCTGTTCTAGAGGTGCATATTGATTTGGGAGGAAGATCCTGCAAAGCAGTTTAAATGTCTTGTCCTAAACTAGATAATTCCTCTCATCTACTGCCTGCACACCTTTTACCTTTCTAAAATAATCCCATGGATTAGTAGATTTCTTGATAGGTTTTTAAAGTTTGTGGGGAGGTTGCCTTTGATGTCTTTTTTACTGTCACCTTTTTCTAACTTCGTGAAGTGTATTGCAAGAATGATTTTATTTTTTTGAATGGGGCATTGTCAGCTAAAGATAGGTGAGAAGATGCCAGAAATAAAGCTTTTCAAAGCTGGGCCTTAGCATGGAGTTTAAGATTAATTAGGGGAACTGATATCTTAGTGGTATTTCTAGTCTCCTCTTTTAAGAGCAGAAAAGAATAATTTAAAAATTGTTTTTAGTGTTAGCAGCTATGAAAAAAACCAAAGCTACCCTACAGATTGGTCTGATGAAGAGTCCAACAATCCCTTCTCTTCCACTGATGCAAACGGAGACACCAATCCGTTTGATGAAGATACCTCTCCTGCAATGGAGGTGAGAGTACGTGCGCTCTATGACTATGAGGGCCAAGAGCAAGATGAGCTCAGCTTTAAAGCTGGTAAGTTTACAGCATTCACTTAAAATATTTATCAAAAGGAGAAGGGGAGGGGGGAGTTTTTCCCTTCAGCTTTTATTTTCTGAAGTCATCCGTATCCCTGAAGGTATAACTCCACTTACAGGATCCTACCTCATCCTCACCCTCCTGATAGCACTTCTTAGTATCCCCTGTTGGGAAGCACTGGCTTCTAGTCTGTTTGAAGTGTGGTGGGATGCATCTGTTTGGGATATTCCTTTCCTACCATCTTGTGTTAAACAAAATGAGCCGCAGAACTGATAATCCTATCGCCTCCTTTTCTTAGTTGGTGACAGTAACAGCTGCTGCTTTTAGTTGCCCAGAAATGCCAACCCTACAAAGTTTGGCTTTTAAAGGAAAAGGCTACAGTAGCTAATCTTAAAACAATACCTAATCAACTGATATTTTTTCTGTTTAAACTGGAAGCATCCCTTTTTTGGTCTCAAATTTCCTACAGTGCTGGCTTTCTAAGGTTTAGAAGTCATGGACAGGTTTCTTTTACCTTCCCCCCTCAGTGTATGTTAAGCAGAGTAACTGTCTTTACCTGGTTTTTCATCTTACACTGTATTACAGCACACTGACTATACATCTACCTCCTCAGGATGAGCTGCTTTTTCCTTTTTTTACATTTTACCTTACTGCTGTGGGGTTGAGAGAACAGAATAGAGGCAGCTGACAGGAGAGACCCACGCCACGGTGTGTTTTCACGCATATGACCTTGGCACAAGGGTGCGATGTCTGCACGCCATGGATGATGCTGCCTCCGGTTTCTCTAGGCAGGTACCAGCCCTTGTGTGCTGAGCGAGTGCTTGGGCATCCTAGCCAGCCCCGGAAAAAGGAGGCTTCAAGTTTTTCGTGAGCTGGCTACCTGGAGGCAGCACCCACTAGTGATGGAAGGCGAAATCTATACCCTGTCCATGCTTTTCCAGCTCTAATTTCTGCCAATTTGGTCTACTGTCTTGCCCAGAATTGCACGTGTAAAGTTGAATTACCAAGAGTTCCAGAACAAGATTGCACAGTAGTTTAGCCAAAGCAAACACAACTTCTTTTTGTGAAAATGAGAGAGGCAATCTCATTGATCTTCCTTCTTTTTGCTTGATCTTGTCTCTTTTGGCTGTTTGCTTGTCACTTACTCCCTTCTTGGGCGTAGTTGTAGAGGAAAACGAGGATTCGAGTGTTGAAACAAAATGTGAGAAAACATGGTTCTGCTTCCCTTTCAGCTGTGGTTTCTAGGAAAAATGCTCCTTGTACACCACCTGCTGTGGGTCTTAGATGGATGTTACAGCTGAAAGTTAATATAGCAAACAAGTCAGTGATGTAGCTAATCGGTGAACTGCTAGGCTTCCATTCTGCTTATGGAGAAAGGTGGTGCTCAGAACAGTGTATTCCCAGGGTATTCCCATTCTAAATGCAGTTTGCGGATTTATTTGGGTTTTTTTAACCCCAATCCCCCACAGCTCAGGTGGTGGTGCTCCCGTCTTTCTCTTGCCTCCTCTTTTTTTAGTAGTGAAACACTATGCATCTGGCTTTTCTTCTTTGTAGACAAGTATTGTAGGCTCCCAGAGAGACAGAATGGGTTGGCTTGTCCACTGGCTTTGCTGAATTTTGCCCTGAGAGGAAAAGAGTAGTAACAAAACATCTGGAGCTTTCTCTGGAATGCACAGCAACTAGAATGATTCTTCATTCTGTAGACTAACTGCTCCTTTTCTCTCAGCAGGGGTTGAAAGTACGCTAATCCTCTTGAAATATAGGTATTGGGTCTGTGAACCAACAGGGTGGCATTCCAAGGGTTTAGAGTAATGAGCCTTTTGGTGGCAAAACTATGCAGTGTTTATGCACGCAGTTGTAATGGTTAAATACAAAGTTGGGTATTCTGTGCTTCAGTGCCAGCTGTGTGACCTGCATTAAACTCTGTGAACCAAGTCGTTCCCAGTGTGAGGTCTGTAGAAATAAAATACAGGAAGTATGATCTGAGGCGTATGTAGGCTTAAATAGCTTAAGATGTTTGAAGGAAGAGCATTAAAGTACCTTACAACACCACATTACACGATTGTATCAGTGGCAGCCAAGGGGTGGCATGCTAAGCTATGAATCCCCTTACAGAAGCTGAATTTTAGCATGGCTACAGTCAAGCTGACTCAGTTTTAGGCAGAAGGATTAGTGTGACAAAGTTTACACTGAACATACAGAAGACTAAGGAAAAAAAATCACCAGGTCACGTAGGAGCCAGGTTAAAAATGTACTTACTCCTGAGCTTCTGCATAGACTATGCCTAGACCCCTAAGCAGCTGTCAACAGAGGATTAATGCATTTTAGGGGTCAGTTTAAATGTCTGTGGATATTGTCAGATGGGATTTCCTTGGGTATTCCAAGAATTTGCCTACAGAGATTTTGTGATCACTTGTGGGTAGATGCTGTAGAATATATGCTCTGCACAGCATCTATTAAATATACTTTAATACATGAAACTATTTTTCATTGGTGGAATACTTTATACATCTGGTGGTTTTGGGGTTTTTTTTTTTTGGCCAACAACAGGAGAATTTTGAGGAGGAACAAGACCTTTGTTTATTCATATCTTACGTGAGGATGGGACGCTATACGTGTCTCTCAGCCCACTGTGTCTCTGCCATGGCTGAGAATAAATAGCTCAAATAGAATAAATAAATAAATGTAGGCCATACAACATTGTCAGAACATCAAGGAAGGGATATTTTACATATGGCATCACAAGTCCTGTCAACTGCTGTGTTGGTATGAGCCTTAACTTCTATGGATGGCTCTTAAGGACAATAAACGTCACTGAATGTCGAGTGAAGTACCTCAAGGGCTCAAATCTGTGGGAGAGGAGAAGTGGGATACAGTGAGTTGAAAAATGAGCTGCTTCCTCGGTCATTCTTGGAGCACTCCTTGAGCTGTAAGCCCTGTCTTAGATTATAATACCTTTTTAATTTAAATGCAAGGTTTACCTTTGAAAGCCAGATGTCTTGGCATTATTTGAAACTGTGAGCCCTCAGTACAACCTGTCAAGAGCTGCACTGGCCGACCCCTTTCATTTCTCCAGTTGTCTGCCAGACATCTGGTACTGGAAGTCTTTTTCAGGGTGTTATTGTACATGTTATCTTTATCACAGCTTTCAGATTGTTTTTGTTGTAACTGTTGTGCAGATGACACCTAAGTGGTAATATTCTCCTAGACCTCCAAGATCACTTCGTTTCCAAGTCCCAGCTATTCATACAAGTGCAACTGCATTGGGCTTACTCCTAATGCAGTGTGGCTTTGACAGTCTGCTTGCACTTTTTAAATAAAACCACCCTTCACAGAAGTGGCAGGAAAGCCTGAAATTGTACACACTCATTCTGCAGCACTAGCCATGTTGGGAGAAAGCTGTAAAATGTCTCCCTAAGCCAAGTGCGGTCCCTAGTGCCAAGCACTCGTTCGTAACATTATTAGTTACCTGGTAAGCTTACAGACTAGAGGAGATGAGGCTTTAACCTCTCTCAGCTAACAGAGGAGCTATAAAGATGTATATGAAGCTTGTCCATTTCTACCAAAGAATTGATAGTCCCTAGGCTGGTTTTTGTTCTCCTAAATGATACCAAGACTGTACATTGATGGCCATTTGGGACTGTAGTAAGTGGTTAATATCTTCAGCATGTATTTTTCTAACTAAGATGACACACACATCAGTTTTATCTAGGGAAGTAATTTGACACAAGTAAGTTGTACATGAGGAAATAATTGTTACTGAGTCTGGCTTTTTTTGCCTGGTGGAGGTGGACATTCGTTTACTCGTACACAGCATCTTGGGGTCTGCAGACTCTCCTAACGCTGAATTATTTCCTGAACATGTAGAAGATCCGAGGTGAATGATAGTCAAAACAAGGATATGTTGTAGTTCATAAATAAAAATCTTGGGGTCTGCAGACTCTCCTAATGCTGAAGTATTTCCTCAACGTGTAGAAGATTCGAGGTGAATGACAGTCAAAACAAGGTTATGTTGTAGTTCATAAATAAAGGTCACGTTATAGCTGACGAGTGTCTGAGTAGATAATCACCATCAGCTCTTGCTGTGTAAGTTTGCAAGCAAATTCTTAGTTATTTTTTTTCTGGAGCTACAACATTGGCTTCCAGCAGTATAAAGCTAGATCACTGAAAGGGAAACTTAAATCCCAATCCTTACATTTCTTAAAAAGATGAGGAAAGGAGAAAGAGATACGTAATAAAGTGTAAGGTTCTTCTAAATCTTTCTGCATCACAACTTAGCAGCGGTGTACTGAAAAGCTGCAAGGGTAATTCAAGAGGTTTTTACTGCCATGTCTTAATGCGTGTAGCATTTTCCTCCTTAGGTTCCACAAACTCTTAGAGCAGCGTGTATTGACAGCCTCGTGAAACATTTATTTCACTTACACTGTCATTTTGTCGAGGGCCAGAAACTTAGGATTATTCTGCTTTTGTAGAGGTAGTTGTACTATCCACAACTACCTTTGCCCACACCTTTTAGATACAAGGGAGTCTTTGATCTTCGAGCAAAATAGCACTGTATATAATTTCAGAAGTTTGTATTCTTCATTGTACTTTAGAAAACTGCTGTGGCCTTTTTGAAATGCCATCAGTGTAATGTTTCAGTTTCAAAGTAGCTTGCTTCTTCCTGTTTTCTTGAAATTGGGGGCCTTTCATCCCCGATGTAAATCTCTTTTGCTATTCTTAGCATCAAGAGCACAAAGAGCAAAGAAGGGATGCTTTCTGTTGGGGCCTGGGGTGGGCAGGGGAAGAAAAGCAGACATGTAGGTAGCTGCCACATC